GTCGAGCGCTTCCATGGAAGAGCACTTACCTCGAACGATGTCCAGAATCCTAAACGACAATATCTACTATCCATTGGTCCGCAGTCTGACCGCCTCCTCTTTTTCCGTTAATTCGCAGATTAAATTTTTGACATCGATATTCTGCACTTCTGTTAATCTCCACTGCTTTCAAGGGATTATACCAGACGAAGATTAGCAGTCATATATTAGCCGCTTCGTAATCGCCCAACTTACATAAGTTGTGAGCATTCTAATCCAGTGTCATCTCAGATTTTAGAAGCACATGGGCACTAAATTTTAACTTGAGAAATTTCAAAGATTCATCAGCTAAATTTTTGTTTCTATTGCTAATTTTGTTTATAGGTGAACGAATCGACTCAAGCTAACAGTAGTGATAATGGTGGCGGATACTGAGAAGAGTATTCAAAATCTTTCCGATTTCAAAGTTCAAATCATGCAGAGTCTGCATTCAATTAACACTAATGCCATTAGAAAATGCATTCATTTATTTGTTTTTAACCACCATCAATGGGTGAAATAGGAGGGTAGACAGGGATCACTAGCCTTCGTTGGCAACTAGTTTAGGAAAAGAGAATAAAATTCATGAAAAACAACGGCAAACAACTCCCCAGTCATTCCCACGAATAGCTGTGAGGAATGAATCTACCGTAAATGCCTACATATAGAATAGTATAATTGATTAAACTGTCGCTTCAGATCCGGCTCAATCCAATCTGGCTGAATGCCCAGAAAGAAAAATAATAATAATAATAATAATAATAATAATAAGAAGAATAAATGTAATGCTGGCCACTCGTATTCAAGGATACCCGTCTACTAGGGCGGCTAGCCAATGCCTATTGCAGACGCTCGCTCAGGCACATTTGTATTTATCCAATACCCACAGAGCCCATCTGTGGTTTATACTGCAATTATGTTTAGCAGACCTTAGTTACAGTTTCTGGGGAAAGAGCGTGTTATCTAACGTAATCAACCATTTGAACAAGGCCAGCACAGTCAAGCCCTCGGCCATGATGACTTGTGACAGTGTTAGCACAGCTAGGGTTCCGTCCACCCAATTTCACTCACGAGGCTTGGGTCAACCCTTGGTGTGGTTTTTCAGGCCCTTTCCAAAAGGGGCCGCATGCTGGGATCGACCCTCTCTTTCCTGACAAATCGACCATTGTGAGATTCGAACCCGGATCCCATGGCCAGAATGCGAACGTTCTAACCAATCGGCCACGTGCACATAAGAACAACTAACTAGATATACCCATGAAAAAAATTCACGATTTTGCTATTTTGATGAATTTTAATTCTGAAGTTAACGATAGAATAAGTTCATGGCGTGTTCTACGACAATAAAATATCTGTAGAAATTCCCCTATTGCAACGTTAAATATTTGAGCTTAGCTTGCAATAACAATTATAAATATGAATGCTGGTTGCTATTTTCAGAAATAAGGGGGTACAAATGAATAGAGTACTTGATGCATATTATTTTCTTTTCTATGACCTTTTGCTGTGATATTCCCTTCTCCCATGCAGTGGCGACGCCAGGTGGCACTGTCTTGGATTTTTTTTCGTTTTGGATGTGGCACAATTCGAAAGTAAAGGGCCCAGTGAGGATTGAACTCACTACTCAGCCGTAATAGTTCTAGCGAGACAAGCTTGCTAACCATTACACCACCTCGAGGTGCCCCAGGTGGCAGTGTATTTGTAATGTCAGACCGTTTCAAAATATTTACAGAGCTACGAGTGTAAAAGGACGATTCCATGAAAGATTAGGGTATAACAGTAATGAATTATACTAGAAAGACCTGTGATAATTTCACAGGTTTTTCTATTTTAATTTTTTGATGAATCTCACTTCTTAAATCAATGATCGAACAAGCTCATGGCGTGTTGTATGATAATAAAATATACATAGGGATTCCACTATGGCATCGTTAAATATTTGAGCTTAACAACTTTAACAAAATATTGCAATAACAATCACAAATATGAATGCTCATCGTTATAGTAAAGGGGCAGAAATTTCCATTTCATTGAAACAGACGTTAAACATTTCTATTTTTCTCCCTGAAAACAAGTAGCGTCTCTGATATGCTTTTCCATCTTTTCACGCGAACAGAATAATTCATTATTTATGAGATATTGGCAGGGCGTAACGGTCGTGCTAAGGGTGAGACGTATAATAATAACTGACCTGAATGTGCACCAAGCATGGCTCTCAAGGATTCTGATCTTGATTGATGGTGATAATACGTACGTATTTTATCTTGGGTAGTTAAGTTATGCTACGGTAATACCCTTGGGAAAAGTATAAATCCTCTTCTCCTCCCAGCTATGGGTAAATAGGAGGACAGACCTGGTACTGTAGTCTTGGGTGGCACTTAGTCTGCCTCAGAAAGAAATGGCAACCTACTCCGGGAAAAAAACTGCCTCATCAGTCATGTGACGAAAGATACATGATCGCCTAAGCGTGTATTATGCATAATTCATAACTGACTGATTGACGGTAAATACCCACTCCAATCCAAAATATTCGTTTGGAAGTTGACAATACTTAACCAGTTAGATATATCCCCTATAAATTGACAGACTGAGCATATCTGTTCATGAGCGAGAGTAGTTGGAGAGCCATATAGCCAGATGTGAAAAGTTTTTTTCTTTCAAGTTGGAAGGATGGGGCAGCTAAGGTGACGTGCGGGTCAAATTTAGATACTTAGGATCACCCCCAATTGTAGACAGTTTGAAAGATTTGGGTTACTACACCTGAAGATATTTCTAACTGAGCACCACCTTAGAGGTTGAACCCTGCTTTTATTTAAACCTGTCACTCTACTATCACGTACATTTGGCACATATTCCGAGTAATTCTTTTCAATCTAGATGCAATGATGGGTATATTGGGCAGTGCATGTTTGTATGCAAGCATCCCTTTGTGGATAGCACAAGTCGTTGTCAGCTTTCTTTCCTATCCAAGAATTTAATTTCTTTTCAGATCGCTTTATGATGATGGCGCTGATGACTAAGCCGACCAATTCTTGTATAGAAGAGCTGATGACATTGACTTCCTGGTAATTTTGGTGATGGACAAGATTGATTTCTTTTTATTTAGATTTATTCAACCACATATGTTCCATTTTGTTACACTACCTTTCATCATCTTTGAGAGCTGCATGATGATATTCTACAAGAACTTCGCATTGTTCTAGTTGATAAACTGGTCTAAATGGACTTTACAGGCTTCCAGAGAATTGATTTTCTTCCCATTAAGAGAATATTGTAAAGATTGTCACTGAGTTTATGTCGTATGCAAACAAATAAATTTCTTCTCTTCTAGTCACTTTCTTTATGATGATGGCGCCGATGACTAAGTCGACCAATTCCTGTATAGAAGAGCTGATGACCTGACTGCATGGTAATGTTGGTGGTGGACAAGGTTGATTTCTTTTTCGTTATTTGATTTCTTCCTTTTCTCTTTTGGTGGCTCCAAAATGTTTGGTTCCAACAGTGATGGAACGCCACCAGATGCTACAGTCTTGGGCTTGTGGTTCAAATCATTTAGACTCAAATCCATTGACTTTTCAGTTGGTACTTGTATCTTCAAAGAGGGCAACCCCATGTTCTTTTCCCTGTAGTGAGCTCAGACTTGACGTGAAAACCTTGACTCTTCCTTGCTTGCGACATGTCCTGACCCTCAAAGACATTCTTTCTTGATCAGCGATTTGATGTTTTGACTGCTGGCACTTTCAATGACTTGTTCGTCACATCGTATTCCCATTTGATGTTCAAGATTGAACAAAGATTTTGCAGGTGAAAGCATTCTAAGTTTTCGATCCTGCAACAATATAGAGTCCATATTGAAATAAATGATGATATAAAGGTGCAATGTCAGCTGAGTATGGTCGGTGTAGTAGGACGTTCTCTCGAAGAAACTTTAATTTCTACTGCGTCTGCAAAAGAGATGCGAGGTCTGGCAGAGTCCTGATAGAAGAAAATATTCTTCTTTTTGCTCAATTCCAGATGTTTTTCATCAATTGATTCCTTTAATTGGAATGATGAAATTTTAAACACACGCAGAGTCGTTGACTTTATCTAGTATCCAAGAATTTAATTTCTTTTCAGATCGCTTCCTTTATGATGATGGCGTTGATGACTAAGTAGACCAATTCTTGACATGGAAGAGCCGATAGCATTGAAGGCATAATAAATTTGGTTGAGAACAAGGTCGATTTTGTCGACCTATCCTCTCTTGTATGTTTTCGCTTTGTGCCATTTTCCCTATTTTCCCACTTGTGCCATTTTTGCTCGTGCCATTTTACCGTGTCGTTTCACCCTGTGCCATCATTATTGTGCCCCATGAAAATTATCAATGAAAATGAAAGATGCCTTTTTACAATTAAAAATTATACTGAAGCATAAGAAAGTTTGCAAAAAAGAAAACTACATAAAGTGAAGAAAAAGAGAACTACTCTGAATAGTTTTCTAAGAATAATTTAGTACATTATTTTGAAGCAAAATTCGTGGTCACAGCGAAGCACACTAGCTGAAGACTTTTCTTTTGTAGGTGGGAACGATCTTGTTCGTTTTAATTATCGTCTGCTGGTTGTATGAATTCTTCGGCGTTGTTTTATTTCTGGACCGGGACGACCCGGATTCCTGTAGCAGCTGTTTTTCGACTCAGAAAATCAAATCCAAGGCCATCTTTAAATAAGTTACAAGAAGGCTCCACATACGCTGCTCTGTAATTGGAGGGAAGACCTTTTTTTTTTTTTTAAGTCTTGGATGAAAAACAAACGCAGCTGTTTTACAACTAATCAAAATGTACCATAAATATTTTCGAAATTTAAAAAAATAAATAAAGCAAGAACTCATCACGGTGTCTGCTTCCTTTCTGAAAGCTTGATGTTTGCTTACGCAGCGTAATTTTTTTTTAATACACTGTGAGTTAACATGTTAAGAGTTGTCAAATAGAAATTTCAAAATTTCAAATGTCTTCCATTTCGCTGAAGCTAACAATTCTTTCTTTCTTATTTCTTTCTCTTTCCTTTCTTTCTCAAGAAAAACGTTTTCCTTTCCTCCCTTCCCTTCATTATTCTTTTCTTTTTCCTTCATTCTTTCTTTCTTTTCCTTTTCTCCTTTCTTTTCTTTCCTTTCTTCCTTTCTTTTTCCTTCTCTTTCCTTCCTTCCTTTCCTTCATTCTTTCTTTTCTTTCCTTCATTCTTTTTTTTCTTTTTTCTTTTCTTTTTTTTCTTTCCTTCTCTTTCCTTCCTTCTTTTCCTTCATTCTTTCTTTCTTTTTTCCTTCATTCTTTCTTTCTTCTTTCCTTTCTCCTTTTTTTTTCTTTTCCTTTCTTTTTTCCTTTTTTCCTTCTTTCTTTCTCTTTCCTTCTCTTTCCTTCCTTCCTTTCCTTCATTCTTTCTTTCTCTTTCCTTCATTCTTTCTTTCTCTTTCCTTTCTCCTTTCTTTCTCTTTCCTTCTCTTTCCTTCCTTCCTTTCCTTCATTCTTTCTTTCCCTTTCCTTCATTCTTTCTTTCTCTTTCCTTTCTCCTTTCTTTCTCTTTCCTTCTCTTTCCTTCCTTCCTTTTCCTAAATTTTTTTCCTTTTCTTTTCCTTCATTCTTTCTTTTCTTTTTCCTTTTTCTTTCTTCTTTCTTTCTTCTTTTCTTTTCTTTTTCCTTTCCTTCATTTTTTTTTTTTTCTTTTCTTTTTTTCCTTTTCTTTCTTTCTTTTCTTTTTTCTTTCCTTCCTTTTTCTTTTTTTTTTTTTTTTCTTTTCCTTCATTCTTTCTTTTTTCTTTCTTTTCTTTCTTTTTTCTTTTTTCTTTCCTTTTTTTTTTTTTTTTCTTTTTTTTTCTTTTCTTTCTTTTCTTTTTATTTCCTTTTCTTTTCTCTTTTATTTTCCTTTTTCTTTCTTTTTCTTTCCTTTTTTATTTTTTTTTTTTTCCTTTTTTTTCTTTTCTTTTTTTTCCTTTTCTTTCTTTCTTTTCCTTTCTTTTCTTTTTTTCTTTTTCTTTCTCTTTCCTTCCTTCCTTTCCTTCATTTCTTTCTTTCCCTTTCCTTCATTCTTTCTTTCTCTTTCCTTTTTTCTTTTTCTTTTTCTTTCTTTTTTCTTTCCTTTCCTTCCTTTCCTTCATTCTTTCTTTTTTTCCTTCTTTTCTTTCTTTCTCTTTCTTTTTTTTTTTTCTTTCTCTTTTCCTTCTCTTTCCTTCCTTATTTTTTCTTCATTCTTTCTTTCCTTTTCCTTCATTCTTTCTTTTTCTCTTTATTTTCTCCTTTTTTTTCTTTTTCCTTCTTTTTTCCTTCCTTCCTTTCCTTCATTCTTTCTTTCTCTTTCCTTCATTCTTTCTTTCTCTTTCCTTTCTCTTTATTTTCTCTTTCTTTTCTTTTTTCCTTTCCTATTTTTCTTTTTTCTTTCTTTCTCTTTCCTTTATTCTTTCTTTCTCTTTCCTTTATTATTTATTTCTTTCGAAGCAGCTCCTTTAATATATCGTTTTACTGTCTATCTTCGCAATAAAGCAGGAATATTACATTGTTTATCCGAGGTAATAGCAGGCTATAACTTATACGTTAAGTAAGGAATTAAAGATTCGCAAAAATTGTTGAAAATATTTCCGATATTATTTAAAAACAGGTAAAACTTATTTTTAGTTTTATTCTGTCGAGGTCTTGCTATAAGTGGAAAGACTTGTTTTTAATCCTTTCCCAACCAACCGATTAATTTCTCTCTCCCCGTTTATTAGATTTTCTATTCTTCTTCGCTTCTTACAAACCCTTCGTTTTTTGGCACCCGAGAGCATTTGACGATTTTTATAATCGAACATCTAAAAAAAGAAAAAAAAAAAGAGAAGAAGGAAACGTCTGTTATATAATGCATGTAACGTTTCGTAAGCTATAATTAGCTCGAAGTATTCACTACTATTTCTCTAGTACATTAGTCTTCAAGGTCAGGTTTAGTTTTAGCCACCAGCTGTATCAACTACTATTTATCAGGTAGGGATTTGCATACGAATATAACATTTTTTTCCAACTCTTTTTTACAATGTAGATTTGGAATACTTTATTTCGGAAAAAGAAAAGGAATGAAGTTTCCAAAAAAGTTAACCAAATTAATTATTTTTTAGTGTCTGATACCAAGGTTCCTTGGTGATACTCTTAGGGCGCCTTAGAGGATTTGGGGACATTTTTGAAGTGTTTGGACTAAAAAAAAATGTTACAGGTTCCTGGTTCAGCCCCTTCAGTTGAATCACGGGACACTGGGGAAAATGCGTGTGGGTATAACTGCATGATAATATTCAAACGTTAAGTTTTTAAAAATTTTAATAAAAAAATTGAATAACTTCCAGTGAAAAAATTAGAAGACTGGATGAACTGTTCATTGTTTGATTTGCAGCAGGTTGCTGTTGGCGCTAAAACATGGTCAAAATCAGCACACACATTTTTAAAATTCTCAATTCTATGTTTTTTCTAAGAAATATGCACACTTCGCATAGAAGCTAGACTTATTTTGTTGTCCTTGGTTTTGGTAAAGGACTCGGTATCACACTTAATAGCAAATTATTGAATATTGATGGAGGATGTTTAAACAGTTTCATAACCAGGTGTAAAAATGCTTTTCTGGATGGTTAGGGGTGTTATCTCTTCTTATTACTTTTAACCATCTTTCTATTTCATCTTGATCTTTTAGGAAACGAAGCATCCGGACTTTGTCTTGCTCATTATAATTGCCTCAACAGGCTGACACATAACACTTTTTGGCCATTTTGAGATAATATTCAACAATACCACTAAAAAAAGTTTTTTTTTAACAAAATTATACAACTTCAATATATATATATATATATATATATACACACACACAGTGTAACCCGGATATAAGAGAGTTGTCGGGACCGGAGAAAATCTCTTATATCCGGGTTTCTCTCTCTCTCTCTCTCTCTCTATATATATATATATATATTCAAATATATAGAGAGATTCCAAATAATCAAGAATACTCGTGATGGTTTTATATCACTTGAGATTATAAGAAAAGAACAATTTTTTAAATGCAAATAAAATACAAATAGATATTTTGGGAAAAGGTTCAAAAGTGTTTTATTAAAACAATTTTTGTTCAACGGACACGTTGTTCTTGTAAAGGAAAATGTTCATACGAAATTATTATTACCAAAGTTCAAACAGTATAGCAGATGGGAGAAATTAAAATAGTTGTTAATGAAGTTGGAACAAGATTAAGAGATCTTAAAATATGGTGGATGTTTAGTCGAGAATTTTTTAAACTTTCAAACAATATTTCTGCTGTTATTATAAAGAAAACGTTTGTAAAAAAATGATTTACTATATTCTGTTCGACTAGGGAACAGAATTAGGGTACCCTGAACCATTGTTGCCTACAGGTGATCTCTGGCTAACATCTAAAAACCTGATTGCCCCACTACCAGGGTTAGTTATTTATTTTTTAGATGTGTATGTTGGTATGTGTGTGTGAGTGTATCTGCGTTGATATGTGTATCGGTGTGTGTAACTCATATAGGGGAGGGCCAAGGAAAAAAAAAAGGAAGGTGAGATTTTTTTTCTTCGGGCTGAGGATTAAACGGGATAAATATAAGCAGAATGTGATTCTTGAGCACGTTTTCGTGTGTGTACATGTATGTGTGTATGTCTCAGTGAAAGAAACAAATCGTTACTTACCACTTCTAGCCGAGCACGCCGCCATGTTCCTTACCAGATAGAAACTGTGGTTGAGTTTGCTTCCTTTTTTATGGAAGAGCTCACATTGCTGGTGAACCTAAAGTTATCCGGGATTGGACAATAAATTGTCAGTAGGAGTTGCAGTGTGTGGTCGGGAGGATGGAAAAAAATGTAGGTAACGGAAGGTACACAAGCCGATACCAAGTCAGTATCGACTGGGTCACCGTGGTGAGGGTGTAAGATGTTGAAAAACCCGAAACCCCTAATGAACATCGGCTAGAAACCTCACTGATGAAATGTACCAAGGCATCCAAAAGATGTATTTTACGAAATGGAGTAATAAATTTCAATCCAACAAATATTGCAAATTTATAATATGCCCTTATGTAAATTAATTGAAACAACCACTTTAGTTTCCTTTCTTTCACCATACGGTCAGTTTTAGACCCAGTCGAGTGACAGGGTGTAATCGATTTCTATTTTTTCCTCAGATTACCTAATTTGCAGTGGTGTCCAGTAATATGAATCTATTTCAGGGTGTATGATGAAATTTGTTTGGTCTTGAAAAATATAGCGTCATCCGTGATTGCAAATATTTTTTTTTTCATCACACTATTGTTTAAATCTTCGATTAGTTGTCCTACGGCCATTGTCTGCGATGGGCGTTACTCCAACTATGCGTACAAAAACTGTAACGCTGCAGAAAAACTCACTGAGAAGCCTTTCCAGTTAGCAAATCAAAGTACTATAGACTGTCTCAGGAACTCACCTGTTTTAAATCTAATTTAAAATCTGTGGTTCATCATGCAATGGACGACTTCGTGCAATGGACATGCGAAGTCGTAATATGTGCACTGCCGTGTTTCATTGGAAAAAATAGGAAAAATGTAAATAATAACGGAATTACTCGTTTTGCTTCAATGTGAAATGACAATGTTTCCCTCCTCGTTTTATTCATTCATCTGACACAATTTACATTTATAGAAAATTTTTTTCACTGATCAAATGAAAGAACAAGGATTTGATATACTTCATTCCACACACACCCATATCTTCCTTAAAAACAAACACAAACACCGATAAAAAAAATTAAAAAAATCTTTTCTTGAGATTCATTTGATCTTTGACGGATTGTCTTTTTGCAAAAAAAAAAATTCGTCTTGCGCACGAATTTTAATTGAACAACTCGAGTTTTAACTAAATGAAGAAATATAAATAAAACAGAACTTAACCAATTTCATGAAAAAATGAATATTACTGTATTTCGGAGTTAGGTCTTCTTTTAGGAAATGTAGTTTACAATCTTCTTTTCAAAAGAATCTCTTACACATTTACAAGTTTACCATTCGTCGATGCGTTGAATGTCACTTCCACATTTGGTCTGGTGCTATGTATCTATAGATTCTTGATTAAATACAGTGAAAAATCTGCAATGTTATTGGTCCTGAACTGGTACCTCGGCTTCGGCTACATTCCTTAAAAACAAACACAAATACTCATAAAAAAATTGAAAAAATCTTTTCCTTGAGATTCATTTGATCTTTGACGGATTTTCTTTTGCAAGGGAGAAAATGAATGGAGTTTTGTACATTAAGACACTGAGACAAAAAAAAAAAAACGAATAATGGCGAAAAATAGATCTCAATAAAGAACCCGGTCTATCCTGCTATTTACCTATAATCAGTCAGCTATGTGCTATGCGTGATACACGCTTAGGCAATCATGTATCTTTCGATACATGACTGACGAGGCAGATTTTTTCCCGCAATAGGTTGCCATTTCTTTCTGCGGTAGACCAGTTGCTGTCCATTGCCATAGAACCTGTTCTGTTCTGCATAGCTGGGGAGGTGGGAGAGAATAAGTGGATTAATACTTTCCCCAAGGGTATTAGCAGGTAGGTGAATGTAATGGATTCGACTGGAATTCGAACTCGGCTCTCCGATACCTCAATCCAAGCAGCTATACATTTTTGAAGGAAAAATATTACCAGAAATAGATTTTTGACAAAACAAAATATTACCAGCAATAAAAGTTTTGTCGGCATTAAATGACCCATTGAGGTGTTGATATGCCGTAAAACAAACCAAACCAACCGAATTGGCTCCGCTGGTTACGGACATATTTGCTGTTTCGGCCATCAAATGTTGCCAAGTTACTGGTTAGGCGAGGCCGTTACGCCAGTTCTGGCCATCACATGTTTTGCATTCAGAATTTTCCTTCTCCTAGACTGGTTGACACACACGCCTAGAGAGCTTCATCTGCACTGGACGCGGAGAGTTGGGCCTCATAACGTTTCAAATGTGAACGTAACGATCTCAGCCTGAATTCGAACTCGACATGCCGAAGATATTCTCCGCGCCGATAACCGCTGCGTTACATGCACAACAATAGTGAAATAATCCATCACATTACTTTATTAACAACCACTCGAAGTTACGCGATCTTGCCAGAAGGATGTGTAAGAAAAAACTAGTTTTATCCAAAATGTTTCCAGCTAATCCCTTAAATATCACCAGAACAGGTTGCCCGGCCCTGGTGTAACTTGGCACTGCACAAGAGGGCACTTTACTGCGCATGCGTGCGACTAAATTCACTTTTATCATCCCGTCATTATTTCATGAATTACTCGATCGAATATCCTAACCTTTGTTGTTTGCTTACAACCATTCAGACGACGCGCTAACCACTGTTTCTTGATTTGTATACATTCATGAGCGGAAATACTCATTATTCCGCGAATTAATCGAATATCCTCACCTTAGTTATTTTGGTTACAGGCTTTCGGCCGATGTGCTCTCCGCTCTTTCTAGATTTGTCAACATT